GTGTGTGTGTGTGCGTGCATGTGTACGTGCATGCATGTGTATATCTCTCCTGGAGCTTGAACTTAGGGCCTGGGTGCTGTCCCTGAGCTTTCTTGCTCAAGTCTAGGGCTCTACCACTTGAGCCAGAGTCCCACTTCTGGCCTTTTTGGTAGTTGAGTCTCACAGAATTTCTTGCCCAGACTGACTTTGAACCATGAGCCTCAGATCTCAACCTCCTGAGTAGCTAGGGTTATAGGCATGAGCCACTGATGCCCGGCTAGCAAAGATTCTTTTTAATGCTGTCAGGTCTTGCAAAGGGAGATCTTATCCTTGGCATTAAACTTTATTGTTTTTATTTTTCCATCATTATAGTTATTTTGCATAAACAGTTATAAGATGCCTATCAGCATTGACCTGAGGTGTATTGTTAGTGAACTTTATATACTTATCTAGTTGCTTCAGTGCATACCTTCAGTTCTACCCTGTGTTTTGACCTTCTAGTGTGCCAGACCTTGTTTTTATGAGTTTTCCATGTTATTTGGAATTCTTAACTACATAGTAGATCCCCCCGTCCCCCTTATAGGAATGAAAAGGGAAGTTCAATGAATCTAAGTGCTTTGCCTGGCCTAGTAAATGAAAGTTAAGTAGCAATTTAAGAGTAGCTGGAGTCCCCAGGTTAGGCCTTTCACATTCCTTGTTAATGCAGCCCCATCCTGCTGGTGCTCACTGCCTGCTCCACCCTAACAGAACCTGTTTTGCTTTCCTGTCTTTATTTTAACTAATTAATTTTTGTTTTGGTATGTATTGATTGCACCAAGGGGTTTCACTATAGTATTTATACGTGCATATGTTATTTTGTTCAGAATAACCCTCTTTCCTTGCCCACACAATCTTCTCTTGATCAATAGCTTTCATTAAGTTTCTTGTCTTTATACATAGTTAAAATTTGAAAATTAATTTGAAAATTAATTATTGTCTATAATTCCTTATCTTCCTCTCCTCTTCCCCTCATATTCCTAAATAGTCACACATTTAGAATCAGGTTCTCTATGTCTTTCTGTATATATGTATATTTGTTGTATATATATTTATGTATGTACATGTCCATGATATGTTTATTTTTTAGGTTTAGATCCTACATATGAGCAAAAATAGAAGATATTTGGCCTTTTGAATTTGGATTATCTCAAGATTAAGTTCTCTAATTCTAGTTCATTTTCCTGCTGATGATATTTCCTTTTTATTTGCTTTGCAGTATTCTACAATGTATATATATTGTGTTGTCTTTTTCCACTTATCTGTTGGGCACCTTGACTGATTCCACCATTTGACTGTTGTGAATAGTGCTACATAGCTATGCAGGCATCTTTCTTATATATTGATTTACTCTCCTTTAGATATATACCCCGTAGTGGTATGGTGGGACAGTGAGGTAGGTCTGTTTTTAGTTTAAGAATCCTTCATACTGATTTCCATTGTGGTTGCATTGGTTTATATTCCCACCAGCAATGTACGAGAGTTCCTTTTCCTCCTTAAGGTCCAGCATTTGTTGTTTGTTTTCTTGATGGACATGAGTGAAATCTTAGTGTAATTTTGATTTGTATTTTGCTTATGGCTAAAAATGTTGACTATTTTTTCATGAATTATTAACAGTTTATACTTCTTGTGAGAACTGTTAAATTGTTTTTTGCCTGTTTATTTATTTGATTTGTTCTTTTGCCATTTAATACTTTGAGCTCTTTGTATATTCTGGATATTAATCCTTTATCTTTTGAATAGCTGCTAAAGATTTTCTCCATTCTGTGGGTTGTCTCTTGGTTTTGGTCATTTCTTTTTGGTAATTTCTTTTGCTGTGCAGAAACTGATTAATTTGATTTAATGCCATTTGTCAATTCTTAGTTTCTACCATTCTCTACCAGAAAGTACCTATGCCTATAATGTCAAGGTTTTTGATGTATTTTCTGATAGTAGATTTAAAGTTTCACATTTTGCTTTGCTCTTTGATCCATTTAGAGTTGATTTTTGTGAAAAATGAAAGATAAGAGCCCAGTTTTAGTTTTCCTACCACCATTTATTAAAGAGACTCTCTTTTCTCCAGTGTATATTTTTGGCTCCTTCATCAAAAATTTGATGGCTGTAACTGTATGCTTTTTATTTCTGAATCCTCTGTGATGTTCCATTGATCTTTGAGATTGTTGTGCCAGTACCAAGCTAATTTTGTCAGTATGACTCTAGTATAATTTGTGATGCCTCTAGAGATGCTCTTTTTACTCAGAATTCCTTTTGCTATACAGATTCCTTTATGCTTCTATATGAACTTTTGGACTGACTTTTCTATTTCTGTGAAGAATGATATTGGTACATTGGTGGTCATTGCCTTAAATGTGTAGATTGCTTTTGGCATTGTGGCCATTTTCATAATGATTCTGCCAATTCATGAGAATGGGATGTCTTGCATTTTTTAATGACTTCTTCCTTCAATTTCTTTCTTCACTGTTTTGCAGTTTTCATTGTAGATGTCTTTTACTTCATTGGTTAAATTAATACTTATATTTTGTTTTTGAGGCTGTTGTAAATGGAATTGCTTTCCTGTGTAGAAAGGCTACTGATTTTTTAGTGTTAATTTTATGTCCTACTATGTTTCCAAAGTTGTTTATCAAATGTAAAGATTTTTTAGAGTAGAGTCTGTAGGATCTTTTAAGTATTGGATCATATCATTTGCAAACAGGCATAATTTGACTTCTTTCTTCTCTACTTGAATCCATTTTATTTCTCCTGCCTTATTGTACTGGCTAGGAATTCTAAGTATTATATTAGTAAGAGTGGGAAGAGTGAATATTCTTGTTCCAAAGTTGAGGGTTTGTGCACTAGTCCTGGGGCTTGAACTCAGGGCCTGAGCACTATCCCTGAGGGTTTTTTTTTTTTTTTTTTTTTGCTCAAGGTTAGTGTTCTGCCACTTGAGCCATATCTCCACTTCTGTCTTTTGTGGTAGTTAATTGGAGATAACTCTTAAGGAGTTTTCTGTCTGGGCTGGCTTCAAACAGTCATCCCCAGATCTCTGCTTCCAAGTAGTAGAATTATAAGTTGAACCACTGGCCCCCAGCTCCAAGTTGAGTTTTAACGGTGCCCTATGCAACATCTGTGTAATGATTTTCTTTCTTTCTTTCTTTTTTTGCTGGTTGTGGAGCTTGAACTCTGGGCCTGGGCACTGTTCTGAGCTTTTCAGCTCAAGGCTAGCGCTCTACCATTGAGCCATAGCACCCACTTCCAGCTTTTTCTGTGTATATGGTGCTGAGGAATCAAACCCAGGGCCTCATGCATGCACTGTACCACTGAGCCACCTTCCCAGCCCCATGATTTTCTTTTCTTTCTTTTTTTTTTTTTTTTTTTGGTCTGGTCGTGGGCCTGAACTCTGGGCCTGGGCGCTGTCCCTCAGCTCTTCAGCTCAAGGCTAGCGCTCTACCACTTGAGCCACAGTGCCACTTCTGGCTTTTTTGCTTATGTGGTGCTGAGTAATTGAACCCAGGGCCTCAGGCGTGCAAGGCAAGCGCTATACCACTGAGCCATCTTCCCAGCCCCATGATTTTCTTTTCTTACTTAATATTTGCTAGTGATAAATTTCTTTTTGTGTTCATTTCCAGACATGTGATCAGTGCTTCTTAAGGAAAATTAGCTATATGAATGTAATTGGCATTATTTTAAGAAATCTGGAGCCTTACTGCTTTTACATACTTTGTTTATTCAATATTTTTTAATTTTATTTTTTTGTGCCAGTACTAGCGCTTGAACTCAGGGCCTGGGCACTGTGCCTAAGCTTTTTTTTTGCTCAAGGCTAGTACTCTACCACATTAGCCACAACTCCTCTTCTAGCTTTTTTTGGTAGTTCATTGGATATAGAGTCTCACAGGGTTTTCTGCCCAGGGTGGCTTCAATCCATGATCTTCTTATCTCAGGCCCCTAAATAGCTAGCAGTACAAGCGTGAACCACTAGTGACCAGCTTTATTTATTTGGATTCAGTATTTCGTGGTATAGTGAATATTTGAATTTAGTATTTCATGGAATAGTGTTGTCTAGATATGGGCCTTTTAAAAACTCCAGTAAATCCTCCTTTTTCTGCAATATTAAAAATGTCTGCACATTATAATCCAGTAGTGAAATAAATGTCTGAACTAAAATAAAACAAACAAGTGTGGCTACAGCAGCAGACTTGTATGATTGAGCCCTGGTGTCCCAAGCTAACCTGAGCAACGAAGTGAGATCCTATCCAAAATGTAGAGCAAAGACCCCAATTACCAACAACAAGACAACAACAAAAATGAGATAAGACTTCTTACCTACTACTGTAACTGAAATCATTAAAAATTGTTGATCAAGATGAAGAAATTGGAAGAAGCATGTATTGCTGGCAGGAGTGTAAATTACTACAGCCACTGTGGAAAACAGTTTGGCAATATGACCCGACAATTTTCCTCTAGCTGTATAACTGGAAAATAAACATATATGGTCATACAAAATCTTGTGTATGAATGTACATAGAGTGGAAACATTCTAGATGTACTATGAAATGACTGGATTAAAAAATGCCCTAAGTTCATTCAGCAGTAAAAGGAAATAAAATACTGATACATACTACATAAAAGTAAGTCTTGAACATTATAAGAGACCATTATAAGAGACCATTGGGGGTGATGAAAATGTTGTATATTAGATAGGACTTATGATTGCACATCTTTAAAAACATAATGAACTATATCTACCTAAAAGTGTGACTATATGATAATGAGAATTCTTTTCCAGCAAAGTTATTGAATAATTGTAAGTAGATGTACATTGGTTCCTATGAGCATGAGTGATCTCTAGATGGTACACTGGCTTTTTGGGGAAGCTGGATTCCTGTGTGGGAGCAGGGAGGAAGATATAATAATCACATGGTGATTATTATATTACCTATTTGGCAAATAAAAGTTAAATAATGAAGGTATTAACAGTGCCTTCTCTCTCTTGATTTTCTTATGACCAGGTCCTTCAAGGTTTAGATTATCTACACAGTAAGTGCAAGATCATTCATACTGACATAAAGCCGGAAAACATCTTAATGTGTGTGGATGATGCATATGTGAGAAGAATGGCTGCTGAGGCCACTGAGTGGCAGAAAGCAGGTGCTCCTCCTCCCTCTGGATCTGCAGGTAAGGAAGCTGAGCCTTCATATCCATATGCTTGGGACATTGTAAACTTTCAAATGGGATACTGCACATTGGAGTTGCACATTGGAGTCAATTGAGTCAACATGTGCATACTTGTTAAGAATTTTTTTTTTGGTAGGAGCTTGATGCTGTGAATTTTTTCTTGAGAAGAGATCTCAATTATATTTGATATTTAATTTACTTTATTCTTCATTAAAAAACCTATCTAAATTCTTACATAGCTTCTTCTACATATGAGCATTTTCTTCTGTTTCCCACATTTTTACAGAATTTTTTTTAGATCTGTAGTTATCAGAATTTTTTCCTAGCTTCAGGTTTTTGAGAATCCTCCCTTCTCAGCTAACGTAACTATATCAGACTGTAATATAGTACTGGTACATTTAGAATTAGTTAGGAAAGACCTCAATTGGTGGAAAAGATAAAGTAGCTTGAATATTAGCATTTACACTTTTACTTCTGAATTTTGCAGAAAATTCAGAAAAGGCTGTGGTAGTGAAGGATTGACGATTTATTCCTATGTTCTTCACATTATGGTCTGCAGTATTGTCATGCAAGCTTATAGACTGATGGATTAAGTCTCTTTTGACTGAATGGGACTGTAGAGAAATACCTCATTTCTTTATCTCATTACCATGATCAGGGAATTGTTTAGATCATGGAAGCAGTCTACCATATCAAACTTTGCCCCACTGGTAGGGATCTAATATAATGTCTGGAATCATTGCTGCAATTTGTTGTATTGTTTGATTTAGCTTACTTGTATAAAACTTGCCAAATAGATTCAAACGTGGATGTTTGTCTTCTCATCTAAATTATTATTTCATTTTCAGTAAACCAAATTTGGTTGGAAGACTATATGATTTCTGAACTCTTTCCCTGTTGGTGGCGCTTTGCAAATGACTATTTTTGAAATATATTAGTATCTAACTTTAAATACATATATTCAAAAATTGCTCAGTATGTACAAGATTATGCTGTGCTCATCAGCATTTGTGCTAGGTACAGCGACTCAAGCCTGTAGTTCTAGCTACTTATGGGGAAAAATGAGAGGATCATGGTTTAAGGTCATCCTGGGCAAAAAGTAGTTTGTGAGACTCCCATCTCATCTCACTGAGTCCACTGGCAAGTACCTGTCATTGAAGCTGGGAAGGAAAGCACAAATAGAAAGATTACAATTAAGGCTAACCCAAGAATAAATTGAAGCCCTGTCTCAAAAACAGCATATGCAGAGTTGGCTAAGGTCATGGCTCAAGTACTAGAGTGCCCAAGTACTGACTGAAGAAACAAAAAGCCTGTAATCCTAACTCCACTGGAGTCTGAGATCTGAGGCTGAAGGTTCAAAGCCAGTTCAAACAGACAAATCCTCAAGACCATTATCTACAAGTAAACATCAAAAAGCTGGAAGTGGAGACATAGCTCAAGTGGTAGAACAACAGTCATGAGACACAAAGCCAAGTGAGACTAGGAGACATATAGTTCAAACCCCAGTAGAAGTTTGATAGCCATTAAAATTCATTTTGAATTCAGATTGCCTATAAATTTATTTTTTCTCTAAGCATCTGTTTTGTTTTGTTTTAGTGAGTACGGCTCCACAGCAAAAACCTGTAAGTACTTATATATACTTCTATTCAGCATGTCAAAAGAGGCCATTCACTGTTGAGCTTTTCAAATTATAGTGGATGTTCTAGTGTATATTCAAAAGTTACACACATTTATAAAAATGTTTTATATTCTAAATAATGATTTCTACAAAATAGAAACAATCAAAGGTCATGCACAACCAATCTTTCTTATTTTCTGGGGTTCTGTTGTCAAAGTATGGTGACTTGTGAGATGATGAGAGGGTTTGAAGGGTGATACTTTCAAAACCACTTTACTTCTGGTTGGCGCATATATATACATATATATACACACACACAGACACACACACACTTTTTTTTCTTTTTTATGTTTTTTATTGTAAAAATAGAGTACAGAGGGGTTTCAGTTACATGAGTAAGGTAATGAGTACATACATACTTTTTTTTTGTTATCTAGCTTAGTGACTTATAGAGAGTAGGATTGGAGAGAGATCTCAGTGGTAGAGTGCTTGTCTACCATGCAGCCCTGGGTTCAATCCCCAGCACTAAAGGAAAAACAAATATGACAGTATTACCTATTATTATGTGAAAATAGTTCTAATGAAACCAGTCTCTGGAATGGAAATTCCAGTGTTAAAGAAGATCTTTGAATATTAGGAATTAGTTTGTGGGCACTAATCCTGTGAAACATTTTAGCCACTCATTGCCAGATGAGTGGCTTAAGTTGGAGGTGGACAGAAAGTGACTTTTTCTTTTATTTGCCCTTTGATATCATATATTCTCATTTCTTTTATCTCATTTGTTGATTGCAGCTCAGTATGAGAGCTAAGCTCAAATGAAGTGCTACTGTTGACTACCTGTTTTGGCAAGCATTTCTTTTATGTCAGTAAGGAAGTTACAATAATACTTTTTCTGTTTAGGCAGCAGCAAGTTAAAATTTCAAGACAAGTTACTTGTTTAAGGACAAGTATTTCCAGATACTCAGTTTCTGATAAAAGCTATATTCCTCTGAATAGAAGGTCATGATAGTAGCTAGAAGTGCTTTCTCTATTACCATAACCCTAGGAGGATCTTCTGTCTGGCCTTATGAATTTAATTAAATATGGCATGAAAAAGCAGTTAGCTGGTATTGGCTATGCTTCCAGCATTTGCACTGTTACATAGTACTTTAAAATGAAGCAACCTGACTTTGGAAATTTCTTCACATCTCATAGGTAGGAAAAATATCTAAAAACAAGAAGAAAAAACTGAAAAAGAAACAGAAGAGACAGGCTGAGTTACTGGAAAAACGCCTACAGGAGATAGAGGAATTGGAGCGAGAAGCAGAGAGAAAAATAATAGAAGAAAATATCACTTCCACTTTACCATCCAACGAGCAAGATGATGACTACCACCCAGAGGTGAAACTAAAAGAAGCAGAAACACAGGAGGCAGCTGAGGAGGAGACTGTGAAAGATAATGGTTAGTGGAAGCTGGAGGAGGAGTTGATTGGGTTCCAAGAGCTTCAGGGAACAGGGACCAGCCCAGCCACTATCTATGTTCATTGGCTTTGTGCTACTGTTTCGGATAATTAAGGATGATTTTCTCTAACTCCTTTTTGGGAAATTTGAGAAACAGCCTATATTTCATGCCAGTGACTTGTATTAACATTTCAAACTGGTGTGTGTGTGTGTGTGTGTGTCTGTCTGTCTGTCTGTGTGCACACATGCACATGTGTGCATGCATGTGCCCACATGCATGCATATACCAGTACTAGGGCTTGAACTCAGAGCCTAGGTACTGTCTCTTAGCTTTCTTACTCAAGGCTCATGATCACATACTTTCCTGCCCAGACTGGCTTTGAACCTTGATCATCAGATCTCAGCTCCCTGTGAAGGTAGTATTATAGGTGTGAACCCTGGTACCCTGCATTTCAAACTAGCTTTTAAAAAGTGGAAAATGTTTGAGAAATAGTGTACCTCTATAATAATGATGGCCCTTCCTTTATTTCATAATGATTTTTTGGCCTAATTGTAATGCACTACAAATCTTTTTTGAAGATTATGGGAGAACAGGATGAAATTGAAGTCCAACTTTATAAAATTTTTCCCCCAACACTGTCTTGTTTTAAGAAGATTAGGCTTATTATTAAATAAATGAATACATTTAGAAAACAGATTTTTTTCTCCAATAAGTGTGAATTGTGTGTTATATATATATATTAAGCACATTAAAAAGTATATCTTGGCTAGCATGTTCAGTGCCCCATGTTTAATCCCTGTTACACACACACACACACACACACACACACACACACACAGT